GCGCTGGACCATCCAGTTCTCACTTTTAGTGGATGCCTAGTGATACAGATCGATGAGGTCTAATAAGAGCCACTAACAAATAAATTAAACCGCTAAACTGTCCATATTTCTAACAAATGGTAGACGTTCTAAGTGTAATAAGCATTGGACATTGACCATTGATCGCTGAAGATGGGAAGCAAGGGGAGACAGGTGACATCTCAAAAAAGGGAACCTGAACCTAGTGCTAAACGTAAGTTATACTGTGACCCATAAGTTCTATAGAGTTAACATGAGGAGCGCGAAAGTGCGCGGCAGCCGAACTGGTGTTAAAAGTATTGGTGATGGGGCTATGTTGGGTAAACCAAAAAAAGAAAAAACAGAAAAAAATGGTACTCAAATACAGTCAAAATGTTCCAGAAACTATGGACCAAACCCTCAGTTGTGCTTTTGTTTCTCTTCTTCTTTCATTAGGCCATTTTTTCACTGGTTTGGAGTTCCGATTCCACGTGCATTGAGATCGCATCAACCCATTATTCCTCACGTTATCCCATAGCACTTGACTATACAACATGGCAAGTGGTAACGAGAAATGAGCACCATATGTTCAGAAGCCTACAGGCCAATGTTCAGGAAGTTTTTACAGCCAAAACCTAAACTAGTCCAACAATACATCTTCTGAGTTGTTGGCGGTAACCCTAATGCTAGCAGAACGGTTACATCGTCGTCCTGTAAGAAAAACAGAACTGGCTGATTTCTCTGCTGACGCTCCTCCCACATCTCGGCGGGGAGTCCGGAAAAATCGGCGATCCTTTTACAGTTATTCTACATGTATGACGAGGGAGACATTCAGCAACATCCTATGCATGGGCCATATGCTACTACGTATAATCCGCAAGTCTGCAATCAACATCTCATACAAATCTACAATCCAGTCTTGTCCGTCGGCGTGTGTACGTGCGTTTGACCGGAAAGTTTTGCGTTCCCTTTCTCCTTTGTTCGCTTCTTTGAACGCCTTAGGATCAAACCCCGACCGCTGGCTCAGGTATCAAAGGGTCTACCTTTATTACCGAGACGTTTCATTCCCTTCCCATAGCTTCGGAATCAAAACTGATCCAAGCGCTGGACCATCCAGTTCTCACTTTTAGTGGATGCCTAGTGATACAGATCGATGAGGTCTAATAAGAGCCACTAACAAATAAATTAAACCGCTAAACTGTCCATATTTCTAACAAATGGTAGACGTTCTAAGTGTAATAAGCATTGGACATTGACCATTGATCGCTGAAGATGGGAAGCAAGGGGAGACAGGTGACATCTCAAAAAAGGGAACCTGAACCTAGTGCTAAACGTAAGTTATACTGTGACCCATAAGTTCTATAGAGTTAACATGAGGAGCGCGAAAGTGCGCGGCAGCCGAACTGGTGTTAAAAGTATTGGTGATGGGGCTATGTTGGGTAAACCAAAAAAAGAAAAAACAGAAAAAAATAGGTACTCAAATACAGTCAAAATGTTCCAGAAACTATGGACCAAACCCTCAGTTGTGCTTTTGTTTCTCTTCTTCTTTCATTAGGCCATTTTTTCACTCTTCATTCCTTCCTCTCTGTTCTTGGAAGCAAGTAAATTCATAGAGCTTCCTTGCTCTAGCATTCACGCAGTTCCATAAAAAGCGGTAAATTTAAAAGCCTGCTAGGCGTATGCAATCTGCAGATAGCGGTCGATGTAGAAGTTATGGATTTTAACCCTAGACGCGTGGTAGATCAACTCGGACAAAAGCAGTGGAAAGCTCCTATAGCCTTCTGTGTAGGATTAAATCTCCGGCCAACGTGTGCGATAATGTTGCCATCTGTCAGTCTTAATACTTGTTCTGGCCCAAGTTTAGTAGGTTACTCTGATTTCAGACGGCACAAAGGAGTCTCCTTCAGGTCGTGGACCCCACTCAACGGTTTGCAGCACTTCTAGAGGTTCGTTCAGGAAGCACCAGGGGTAGTTCACTTCCGATGCGTGCGTCTGGGAAGGCCAAACAAAGGGTGAACAATAGCTCAAGGGCCCGAATCCCTTCATGATTTTGCATTCCTGTAAGTTGTATTTTTCTTGTGTTTATATGTGTCGGATCCTGTAGTCTGAACAGAAGCGTGTTCAAATCCAGCCAAATCTCTTGTACAAAAAAGAAAACAAAAAAAAACAGAACAGCCCCTATCGCCGGGATCGTCGTGAACTCGTAGAACTTTTATCTACCCTTTCTTAGGACTTGGAGGGTTCCCAGGTACGCGCAGCGATAATGAAGCACCTTTTTGTGGTCTGCAACAACAACAAGCAAAAAAACCGTGTCGAAAAGGGCTCCACGACGTAAAGGACCTATTTTTTTGAAACTCTGTCGTTATCCAGACTAGCATTTCACAACAATGGAACAAAGCAATGATACGAATGATATCGACCGCATCGGTCACACTACCACCAAAATGTAAAGGCACTGTCCGAGGTCAGCTATCTCAACGAAAATATTCGGAAATTAATTGAAATCACCTGAAAGTGAGTCCTTTAAGTTCAAACAGCACTTCTGTAATGCCAGTAGTTTTAATTCGTGTCCTCAACAAATCCTGCTCACTCGGTATATAATTAAGTGACGAAAGTCGAGGTAAATTATCCAAGAAGCTGAATAATTACAAATAACAACGTCTATTCTTGAAGTACATGATCTCATTTCAAAGAAAGTCGCTCATAAGAAATCTGCCTCTAAGAAGAATATTCTGAAAAAGCACTCACTACTTAGCGCTGTCGTCTATTTGATATTCATTACTACGTCGATAGCATTCTCGCACACCTTCGTCGGCCCATAACCGCTGCATTGCAGCCGCTAATTCTTCCGTCAACTCTTCCTTATTTGCATGTACTGTTGCAAACACCAGCTGACTGTCGCGCTGAAAAATTAGTTTCCGATTAAAACTTGATAACATTTCACAGCATAGTTCTTGAACTGTACCACTGTAAAACAGACTTCTATTTTGAAATTCAGTTCTCGACCGTATACTTTGTCAAAGGAGTTCCTGAATGCAAGTGACAGAATAAATCCCCATGACGTATAGGATCTATACGACTAGCAGGACGGAATTCGGTGTAGCTGAGCGGCTGCGGTGTCATCCTCAGCAATGATACCCTTTGGCGCCTTACTAAACCGCAAAAGATCGGCCCGGACGCCCACCGCGCCCGCTCGCCCACAAATATCTGAACGATGCTGATGATCTGCGGAGTACAGTATGGTGGGATTGATAATAAGCGGCTGCGGTGTTGCATGAACATGTGAGTAGACACATGCAGCTGTGACTTCCTAATTGCTTGTTGGCACGATGCCAACGAGAAACACGTCCGAAATTGCTTTCTCGATAGAATAGAAAAAAGGATCTTTCTTGCAGGGTTTTGTTTCACTTCGTATAGACCCAAGGTTCCACTAATTGCGGCACCTCGGGCGATTCTAAATCAAAAGCCTTACGTATTATCAGGCTGTCAAAGCTGTAACTCATTAATTCCAAAGGAGAAAGTGTATAATACCACCCGCGATAACCGGCGTAGTCGTAGCTTTACTACATGTGGTAGATGAGTCTCGGAGTACATTCTAGGTCAGCGTTTTCAGCCACCAGTTTTGAGCGTCCAGCAGTGTTTTGAGCTGACTAACAAAGGGTAAACGCTTATAGCTGAAAACGCGGGCGGATACTCAAGACGCTGGTGGACGCTCAAAACGCTTATGGACGTTCAGAAGGCTGGTAGTCGATCAAGACAATCTTGCAAAGTGTAAACGCAATCTTACTGTCCGACAAAGGAGAAGAAACGTTGACAAGGGGTAGCTCCTGTCTTTCCAAGCACGCTTCCCTATCTCTTCCTAGACATTTCACAAGCCATAAGCCACTAGTTGTCTCTACTGCCATCGGAAACTACAAACGTTCTTCAGTACACACGGCGAAGCGTCTCCTTTTTTGTTCTTTACACTTTCTGTAAAGGAACCAGAACTGGGTACACAGGAAACACGAACTTTGGAAAAGCCGATGTCTTGTCGATGAAAAGCGGACATTCCGGCAGGGACATGCGTGAAAGCAGGGCTCGAGGTACAATTTGGCATTGATGCAGCTTCACAGCGAGACAACTTTACAACGAAACAATCAAGGATGGGATCCGCTATATTGGGAAAAGGTTAATAGGAGCCGTTCAAATAAGACATTTTCTTCACTGCACAGGCCTCTGTCTTCTCAAGACAACTACTTTTCTTCATACCTAATGCCGTAAACTCTTCAAACATCCATGATCGTGGATCAGCAGCGCTGTGTAAAGGGTATTCGCGAAAACACAGTCCAGCGCTCTGCTGCTTGCTCTGAGCTAGACAAATGAACGAAATTGTTTCCTTCTTGCTTTACTTCTGCGCGTTTTTCTACTAGTGTGAGCGATCTATATTTCAAAGGAGATTCGAAGAACAATGGGGAGATTAACATATCAAAGACAAAAACGCAGCTGCTCCGTCGAAAGAATTTTTTATGCTCGTTGCATGTAGCATATGTCGTTGCAGCTCCGGCAATAGATGCGCATTATACTCCGCAATAGAGGGTTCTAATTATTACTAGATAAGGAAGTATTGTCCTAAATTGCAACAATTAAGGGTTCATGCACCAAAACAAAATTTTCATCAGATAGCTGATTCATGAGGACCTCTTGTGTGAAAAGAAGTCCCTCGAAAGTGTTGATGAATACTCAAAACAGATGGGAAAGCTGAGGTATGTTTAACCACAAGCAAAGCTACAGTAAAACGTCTCAGCAGGCTCTTCGCCTTTTCGCACATATGAAATATCCGCAACTACAAAGATAATCGATCGAAATCCTACAGAAGAAATTGTGTCGTTTGTCCGTTTCCGCTGTAGATCCCACAACTCAAAGTGCGTTACTTCGCGATAAGGTCTCTGCTGAATCACTGTCTTCTGGGTTGTCTCCGGGAGTGTCGATAAGAGGGTTGTCTCCGGGAGTGTCGATAAGACGATACGCACAGAAAGTTTATCTGGCGAGTATACCACACACAAAACTGAACCCTACCGCTCACCTCTCTTAAATACGCTCTCAAAAGAGGTGCGCAGTATCAAGCTTTGCCTGAGTTCATTCCTCTGATACAACGGTTTTTGCGGTCTGATCGCGCGAGCGATTTGACCGCAAAATCAGAACGATAAGCACCAGCGAAGAAAGACTGCCTGGGAAAGATTCCTCATGCGATCAATGTGACCAAGTCGTGAGGTATGAAGGCCCTCTCAAGAAGGAGTTAAGCTATGGATGATAATCAAATTGCAACTTTCCGTACCAACTGATACCAACCTCCTGAAACATTCACTCTACTCACAACACCTCGATATGTGGAGCAAAACGACTGAGAGTGAATGAATAAACGCAGTGGGCACGATTCCTGGGGGCGGCCGATTATTGCCAACAAGATTGGTGGAAGGGAGGAGTTGGGTGTAATCAAACGACTCCTGCAGCCTTTCCAGCAGTGACGTTGGCAGCACCCATCCGTCCCCAGCCATCGTGCTCACTGCCTTCAGCCACAAACGCACTTTCAAGAATTTTCGTATCCGAACATGCTGCAGGGATGAAGGACCTGTAAAAAGTCAGAAAAGGAGCTAATTGATTCTCAAGAAGAATCTCATCGGTCACGCACATTGGATGAATGACTTCGATGAGAACAAAGAAGTACAGGAAGCCATGCTGCGCCCCAATAACTATCGGTTTCCCAGATGAAACATCATAGAATGCTGGTTTGCGAAATCGGAACACTCCTCCTAGGCCCGAAGGTCTGTCAAAACTAAAGGCTTGGTAGTATATGGCCTGCGTGCGACTGGACTTTCACGGCTTTCAGGCACACTGCCAAATCTTGCCGCATTATTAAAAGAAAGCCCGCAAACTCTTCGTTTCAGCTCTGTTACAGATCAAGCAATTCATTGTACACTGCAACATGCACACTGCTCACATATAGATAATGCTGTGCTTACTGCTGTTTTACTAGAAGCACTGCAAACAAGAATTAGCACACCAGGTTACCCCGTGAGTATAATGTGTTTCTGTTCAAACCATATGTCGGCTAACACCTATAAAAATCATTCGCCGCGGTAAACTCGTCAGTTGTTAAGCGGTCCAGTATAGCCTCCAGACGCTAGTCAGAAAACCTGACACTTCAAAAACTCTAAATGTTGTTTCCTATAACAGGAACGTTGTACTAATCCCATTGTTCCACAAAGTAGAGTTCAACACAGCAGAAGAAGTGAAACTTGCTGGTTGCTTTGCTTCAATGTCAAAAATGCTAGCAATCGGGTTAAGCCGTTCACGTGTGTACTGAAGCACCGTGGTCAATATATATTATATGTCCTGCGACTCACCGAAAATTTGTCACAAAGTCAAATTCACACAAGGCCGCTAATATGTATTGACCGGTTCAAGTAAATGCAGTAAACAGCCAAAAGCTCGAGCCAGAGTTTAGGCTTCCCAAGTGAGAAGGTGCCAACTTAAATGTCTAAGGATTGACGACCTGATTTGAAGGCACCGCTCGATTTCCGAAATACCGTCTCATCATCACCATACCCTGGACCCGAATGTGTGACGGCAAGAACCACGCGGCGTCACGCGCGACAATTGCAACTAAAGTATGGTTACGATCGGCGCGCGCTGGTGACGGTTTTGCTATCGCGTTAGTGACACTTCGCTGCCATTTTTTTTCAACAGGACGGTCCTTCGTACCTCAACAAAGTGACAATAAGTACACTCCTTATTTATCCCTGAGCCAGCGTAGGCGCGGCATTTGAACATGGCACGGAAATATTTCGTGGAATATTTCAACTGGTTACTCGTGGAATATTTCAGTCTGCTGTCACCGTGTTCTGGTTGGACAGAGACACGAAAACACTTAAATCAAAACGGAAATATCTCACCATATCTCACCAGAAGCATAGACACCTTCAGGTTAAGTTGAAACATAAGACCACGCCTACCTGATCTCAGGGATCTCGGGTATACAGTCCATGAGAGTACGCTGTCCAGAGAGCAGTATGACAGTCAAATGATTAGGGATCAGCCGGTAAGTTAAATTAAGCAGCAAACAAAGCCTGTACCGGTTTCTCTGGACCACAACTGCTATGCAAGCACTCTAGTTATGCAAATAAAAAACAAGTCTAACGGTCATGAAATCCAGGTATATCAGAGTGAAGAGCATTGCTGAAAATTAAGGCGAACACAGTCTACTTCAATAATGCAGTGAGTTTATCGCGAGCGTGCGTTCCATTGCAAGCCCGCGCTGCTTGCAGGTTGCTGCAATGCGACGTTGCGTGGTCTCAAAGACCGTCTCCTCTGGACTCTAACTAACCAAAAAGTAACAGTAACAAACTTCACGTACCACGCGCTCGTTATCGGCGTATTCGATCTGAAGGTGAAACATAGCACGTAGAATCGACAGCATAGAATGTATACAATTTGAATATACAACAGGTCGGATCATCTCCAAGTCTTGTTGTGAAAAACCATCCTGAAATACATAACCTTTCTCCAGTTCAATCTCACCGACTTCAAGATAGCTCAACTCTGAAAAAATGGAAATTAAGCTTATATTTTTACGTGCTCGCCGCAAAGTTCGATCTCATGAGCACAACACTGCAAAAAAAAATTGCTACCATGTGGTAACTATCTCGAGCCAAAATCAATCGTTCTTTGAAATTCATTGTGTTTGATCTTATAACTGTGAATGGAACTGAGTAGCTCTTCTTTATACTGAATCCTTATGAATTATTTATTTGGTTTTTTTTTATTTCCGTCTCTTTCTCGGATGCATCCCCTGAAGCTCTTCTAAAACCCCTGCTGAATCATCCCACTGAATATTTCGAAACTAAGTTGCCCACTTTTTATTCTCATCAGGCCCTTCTCATTTGATCACCATTACACTTGTAATGACGACGACAGCAGACATTTTTGTGGGATAGACTATGATGATTCTTAGGGAACAATGGCAGTACATATGGCACTTAATCATGCCCTGAAAATTTAGTGTTTGTGCGTCTCTAGCAGTAAAAGCTTCATCAACAGCCAGACAATTACTAGCGAGATTTGCACAGAAAAATGCAACAATGAACAGGAAATCGCAACAGAAATTTGCAGCAATAGTCCATTATATGCAAAGTACGTGCAGCCAGAGAGACT